AACCATATTMTCTTGAACGTTTTAATAACGTGTCTGTTAATTCAGATTGATCTCCATGTAAACAATTGTTTCTTTCTAGACTATTTACCTTTGATTTATTTCCTGGCCTTAGTGTGCTACTGCTGTGCTAATATCATAGCCTCAGGCCACATGTGGCTGTTGAGCTCTTGAAATGCAGCTAGTGCTACAGAGAAATGAATGCTTAATTTATTTTTATTTGATTAATTTGCAGTCCAAAAACTGAAGTAGTTTTTAAAAATCCCCCATTATGCATAATTGGACTACAGGACTACACTTTGCTTCAATTGTTGAAGATCATATTCATACTGTTGTAATACAAATATATGTTTTACTTTTTCAAAATGGGGCTACTAGAAAATGTCCCTGCTCAGGACATGGTTGATTAGAAGCAGTGGTGGCAAACATTCTATCAGATTGGTTATAAAAGGAGTGCATCTCACATCTCACTATTAATTGTAGCATTTGACTGAAATTCTTTACTATGTTTTCTCCTATGCTTATTTTTACAATTAATAGATGTGTAATTTTTTATCAAATTCATTTCTGTGTCAAAAGAGAGAAGTCATGTGACATTCCTCATGTAAATTGTTAATGGGATGAACCACTGCTACAGTTCAGATCTAGAATGTTCCACAAAGGCCTATGTGTTGAAGGCTGGATCCCCAGTCCAGTGTACTGTTGGAAGGGGGTGGAAATTTCAAGGATGGGGGTCTAATGGAAGTTAGGTCATTGGGCATGTGCCCTGGAAAAGAATATTGGGATTCCAGCAATTTCCTCCTCCTTTCTTTATCACCTGGCTATGAAGTGAATGAGTTTCCCTCTGCCATAAGTCCGTGGCATGACATTCTGCCTCATCAAAGACTCAAATCATGAACTGAAACCTCCAAAACTGTGAGCCAAAATAAACCTTTTATTTTTTTATGTTGATTATCTCAAATATTTTGTTTTAGTCACAGAAAACTATTCTAATAGCATTAATAAATTTTCTCATTTTCAAGTATATTTTTACTCTCAGGATAAAACTTGGATGCACTACCATTTTGTGTAGAACTTTTGCATCTATTTCATAAGTAATATTGTAGCCAGGCACGGTGGTGCATGCCTGTAATCCCAGTGGCTCCGGAGGCTGAGGAAGGAGGATCTCAAGTTCAAAGCCAGTCCCAGCAAAAGTGAGGCGCTAAGCAACTCAGTGGGGCTTTGTCTCTAAATAAAATACAAAATAGGGCTGGTAATGTGGCTCAGTGGTCAAGTGTCCCTGAATTCAATTCCTGGCATCTCCACACTCCTAATTGTATTTTCACTTCCTAAAACCAACTTGGTTTTAAGTTAATTTAAGTGTCAAATTATATGTTCTTATAAACTAATCCAAGGACAATTTCCCCTCTTGATTCCCAAAACAATAATTTTTAAATTTGGAGTTGTACAATCCTTAAAAAAGTGTTAGAAGTCACACACAAAACAATTTAGGCTCTTCCTCTCTTATTGAGGGAATGTTTTAAAGGAATCTACTTATTTAATTATTAAAGGACTATTCTGAATTTTTATTTATCCTCAAATCCAATTTGATGTTATTTTGTCAATTTTTAAAAATCAATGACAAATTTTTTAAAGTGTTATTACCTTTTTGCTTCACTGGATCTATAATTATATCCTTTTTCTCATTACAATGGTATTGCTTATTTTTCTCTATATTTATCTGTAGTTAATCTTGCCAGAACAGTGTTTATTTAATTAGTATTGGAGCTTTTAAAAAAATTGGCTTTTTTGACCCTCTCTGTTCACCTTTTTTTTCTTTTTATTGATATTTTTCCCCTCATAATATTTATTATTGTCTGCATTCACTAATTTTTTGGTTTATTGTGCTGTTCTTTTCCTGACATCTTTGGTTGGTAGATTGTCTCATTAATTTTTGGACTTTTAAACTTTCTAATATAAGTATTTACAACTATATACTTTCCTCTATGCACTGCTCTCAATACACAACTCAAAGTTTAATTTGCAGCACTTTTTTATTATCATTTATAAGTAGTATATAATTTCTATTACATTTTTTTTGTTGGTGCATGAGTTATTCAGTAGCATTTCAAGAAAGGTCCAGATACATATATATAGCAAGAAAGAGCAGCATTTGCTTAGCTTTTTAGTTATAATTTAATTTACTTAATTAAATGGTGATCAGAGAACACACGTTTAGAATTGTATGATGTCCTTGGTGGAGTGAAACTTTTGTTACTTCATATAATAAGACACTAAATTACTGAGTTGACTGTGTGATGAGAGTTCTCTGAGAGATGATGAGATTTTCAATAGGGACTAATATTGCCTCTGCTTTTGTGAGCCTTTCAGGTGCACTCGAGAAAGAACTGTGTTTTCTAATTATTAGGGCTAGGGTCCCATATATGTCCAATATGCCAGGATTGTTACTTGTGTTGTTGACATTTTCTGGACTTTTACTAATATATTGTTTGTTTGATCTGTCATCCAATTTACTATACCCTCAGCCTCCGCATTTGAGGATTCAGTAAAACATGGATCAAAAATATTTTTTAAAATGTTATCTAATATGATATATCAAGAAATATGTAATGTTTTGAACGACCAATAATAAAAAAAGAGAAAAAAAAATTAAAAAAATGTTATCTAAGCATCTACAGGCTATTTTTTCTTGTCATTATCTCTGAATAATATAGTATAACACCTGTTTGTGTAGTGTTTACATTGCAGTAAATAACTACTTAATAAAATGTAACTAACTTAGAGATGATTTAAAATACAAGGGAAGATAGCACAGGTTATATGCAAATATTTTGCCACTCAATATTAGGCACTTGCACATCAGCAGATTTTGTTATCCACTGGGGTCCTGGAACCCATCTTCCATGGATACAGAAGGACAATTATAATTGGTCAAGATGTACTGAGATTTCCCACTATGATAATATATTTGTTGTTTTCTACCCATAGTTGTACCAAGATTTCCTTTATATATTTGAAGCTCAACATGTGTTTAGAATTGTATGATGTTCTTGGTGGAGTGAAACTTTTGTCACTTCATATAATAAGACACTAAATTACTGAGTTGATTACTCAAGTGACCCTATTTAAACATGAAAACCTTTTCTTTGAGCCTGAAAATAGCTGTGTTTCTTCACATGCTCAGCATGCTTCATGCTTTTCTTTTCTTTTCTTTTCTTTTTTTTTTTTTTTTTTGGAATGGGGGTTGAAGCACTGAGCCATATTCCTAGCCCTTTTTCATTTTTTATTTTTTATTTTGAGAGGGCCTCAATAAGTTGCTGAGGCTGGCTTTGAACTTGCAATCCTCCTGCCTCCGTCTCCTGAGCTTCTGGGATTACAGGCACCTGCTACGTGGCTCCTGGGTAATTTTAACACTGAAAGTTTTAATTTAGATTTCAAACAGTGCCAACATTACTGTGGATCAAAGTAGGTCATGCATCTACTCTGGGAGGCAATCAGAGTAAAAACTCTACCAGGGCATCTGTTTTGTGCACCTTCATCTAGGTAAACCCAAAGAGTAAGACTAAATGTTAAAACTAATTTGCCCCCAGCATTCTGAGAAGCATTTATCATCCATGACTTCCTTGACTCATGGAATCATCCAAGAGCATGAACTTTATGGCGAGTGGACCATGAAGTACCAAGGGCTGAGCCCATTTTGTTGGGGATGYCTCAGAACTAGGAGCAAAGGGCTCTTGCTAGGGAGATCTGCCTAGAAGGCCATGCCAGCCCTAGTTGGTTTGATGGCTGCTGACCCTGTATACCACCTTGGATGCCCAGAACTTTCTGCCCTCCCTCTAGCCCTGTACTTCCCCTTCCCTTCCTAGCTGTGCCCTGACTGCCTCACCTGGCATGTCCCCATCCTCACCCACATCACATTCCCCTCCTACTCACAGTCCTGCTCCTTCACCACATCTTTGATCCTACAGCTTAATCTCAAGAGGTTMTCATGGGCCTTCAGGTGAAGCTAATAGAATGCCTGGGGCCCAAATAAGTGCTTAAAATTTTTCTCAGAAATGGCAGCAGTGAAGAAAGTACTAGGCTATGAAGTTAAGAACAATTTCTGTTCTAATTTTATCTTTCCTACTTGTGAGATTTTTTCCCTTCCCCCCCTTAGTACTTCTTAATTTGCCCACTTGTGAAATGAGGCTATGGTTAGAGATAAAGGATGCAAATCTCTTTTTGGATGGAGCCTGACCCAATCTGAATATTTAAAAATTATGGTTTTAACTCACATTGGATGAGGACCACTAATTTCTTCTCAAGGATTCTATCTTCTAATGGCAATTATAATCAGCACAAGAGTTGGCAGGAAAGAGCTTTGAATTCTCCTCAACTCACACTGCTTAGGTTAAAAAAAAAAAAAAAACAACTTAGCTCTAAGTAGACAATACCACGTGTCAAAGAAAAAAAAAAAAGAGAGGGCCCTTCACAGAACCATGGGTATTATTCAGGTCATAAATAAGTTTTCATATTTATTAATTATCTCACACGTATATGTTCTATAATTTAATCCTCACAATGCTCCCACAAGTTAGGTACCATTAAAATTCTCATTTTAAAGAGAAAGAAAGAGAGGCTGAGGGGAATGAAGTACCCACATCAGCTCAGTGGTACATGGTAGGGATAAGTAGATTTCATGTGTCCCCTGCATTTGCTGTAGAGTTGCAGGCATGAACTCATTTTCAGGTACTCAGCCCATGACTGTGTATGTGTGTATGTCTGTGTGTGCACGCGTGTGCCTGTGTGCCTCTGAGTGGGCAACCAGCCAGAGAGTCCCCATAGAACCGAACCTCTTCTAAACTTTCAGCACAAGAGGGAGCATTTGGCTAATAATAACCCATATTTTTCCAGAGAGTTCTGCTTGCATCAAATATTCAGTAATGTGTGTTCCAGGAGTCAAGTTTGAGTGTTACCATGTCTAACAATAGTAATATGATAAGGGTATAATGCAAGAGACTCACCTGCTAGGAATTCTGGTTCCTTACAGGTTGACTCTCCTGTCTGGGATCCTTTAGCTTTGGAAACTGAGAAGCATGTGGAGAAGCAGCTGAAAACTTGGTGTTCAGCAGTTGCGTTCTTTGCAACTTGGAACTCACCTGTTTCCCTGTCTTTGTATTTGTAGTCTGTGTACTGGTTAAACATTAATTTCTGATGGTATAAAGGTCAAGGCAATTCAGATAAGGTGAGAGGGAGGAGATCTTCTCTGGGCTTCTAAGAAAGTTTTTTTTTTCTGTTGAACGTATATCATTCTAATCTCTAGCAGTTTGGGTCTTTAATTTTTTTTAAATTTTAGTTGTATATGGACACAACACCTTTATGTATGTATGTATGAATGTATTTATTTATTTATTTATTTATTTATTTATTTATTTATTTATGTGGTACTTTGGATCGAACCCAATGCCTTACATGTTCTAGGCAAGTGCTCTACCACTGAGCCACAACCCCAGACCCATCTGGGTCTTCCTTAGAACTCTGTATGCCCACTCCATTTTCCCAAACAGTTCCAATTAGGTCATTCCACAAATTCCAGCACTGTCACAGGTAAAGTCCACTTTAAAGATGGCTTCCTGCCCTTGGAGCCAGCTCCAACACAGCCTGTAAGTTCCTAGTACTGCACATGAAAAATTATGGCTGGAAACTTTCTGTCTGGATAATTGGCAGAACCCAAGCACCATCTTCCTTCCCCAAATCCATTGAAATGATGGATGAGATATGTGAAACAACACTTCAAAAATGAGATTTTGGCCAATTTCTAGAAAAACAAAAGTTGACRGAGTTTTATTGGGGCATAGAGCTGAGAAAGCAGCAGTGAGAAAAGCTCAGGAAAACTGCAGAGAGCCTGGGTGCTAGGCTTCTAGGCAGACCTGAAGAGGCTGCCAACTCATACCAGTGGGCTGTGTTTGGAGCAACACACTAAAGGATTGGATACAAGGCAATAGAGGGCAGASTGGCTGTCACCACAGGTGTTTGTTTCCCAGGCTAAGAGATAATGTCATGAAAGTGTTGAAAAGAATTTTGAAGCAATGAGATTGGTAGAGTTGAGAGAGAGCTCTAGGGGGGGCAAGGTCAGGGTCGGGGGGCCGGGAGCCAAAGATTTATACTGTTGAAACTGGGACCTTAGAGAGGAGCAGAGTGACACTGATGAGACTCAGTACCTCTACAAGAGCCATTGGAGAAAAGGGAAGAAGAAATTGTAATTCAGCCACAGAGGGACACACACCAAAGGGCTCCCCACCCAGTCTCCCATGAACTGATGGGCCTTAGCAAGGGAAGAGCAGGGAAGGACACCTTATGAAGGACAGCATCTGTGAAGGTCCTGAGGCTAGAAAGAGTGTGGTGTCTTCAAGGTCCTGCAAGAGAGCCAACCCCAGAGTACCATACAAAGTGGGGGCTCTTGCAAGCCATGTTATATAATGTGTATCCTCTAAACTGTAATGGAGGGCACTGAAGTGTTTCTAGAAAGCTGTTCCCTTATTTTTTGTTTTAAAATCACTCTGTTATGGTTTTGATGTGAGTTGTCCCCAAAAAGCTGACATGTGAGACAATGCAAGGTGGTTCAGAGGAAAAACGATTGGGTTGTGAGAGTCTTAACCCAATCAATGAATTAATCCCCTGATAGAGATTAAATGAGTGGTAACTGAAGTGGTAGGGTGTGGCTGGAGGAGGAGGGAATTAGGGTGTGGCTAATTTTTTATATATTTGTATATATTTTTTTATATATCTGTATCTGCAGAGTGGAGTCTCTCTCCGCTTCTTGATCACCATGATGTGAGCTGCTTCCCTCCACCACACGCACTGCCAGGATGTTCTGCCTCACCTCCAGCCCTGAGGAACGGAACTGGCCTTCTCTGGACTAAGACCTCTGGAACCSTGYGCCCTCAAATWCACTTTTCCTCCTTACAGTTGTTCTGGTCAGATCCTTCTAGTCACTGCAGTGAAAAAGCTGACTAAAACAGGACCAGAAAGAGAGGAGTGAAAGTGTTCCATTCTTCAGCTTTGGAGAAAAGCACGGAAATTCCGTGGAATGTGGTGGGACTTTAGGATGGGCTGGGGAGGGCAGGGCACTGAGATGAGAAAGAGTGCAGGGTAGGGTGCTGGCTAGGCATGTGCATGTGTGTGCATACATATTAGGAGGCTGCTGGGGAGGAGGGAGGGGTCGGAGAGATGGGAGACTTCATGGGAATGAAGCCAATGGGCAGATGATGAAAGTCATGGACTGAGAGGGAAAGACTGGTRGGGACCAGCACTGGATCAAGGGATGGAAGGACACCAAGAATTTTCAGTTTGGGAATTCAAYTTTAGATAAATTCACATATTATCTGAGCGGAGACGTCCTGTGGGCCTTTCAATATTATGAATTTAGAGTCCTGAAGAGAGGTGTGGACAGGAAATAATGTCATGAGTTGGAACTGTTGCAAAGAATTTTGAAGCAATGGGACTGGGTAAAATCACTTTAGAGTTCTCACAAATTTAAAAATCTACAGAAAAAGAAAGATAACTAACTAGTAGTGTCATTTTGATCAGCAGTTTTTCTCCCCATAGACAAATCTACATMGGAAATGACATCCATTCCCGACAGTGGCTCTTTTCCCATTTCCTGTCTTCCTTCTTATTAGCTGTGGGTTTTATGGGGACTATGGAAATGCTYAGAACACAAAAGAAAGAAACAAACCCAATACAACCTAACACAACCCAACCTCAAGGTTGAGACTTATATTAGGGTTTTCCAGAAAAATGGAGCCAATTGGAAATTATAGTGTATATGTATGTATGTATTCTTTATCTATCCATCTATATTTRGGGCTAGGAGATTTATTAGGAGAATTGTCTCATATGATTATGGAGGTAGTCCCCCAGCCTGCCTTCTGCAGGATGGAGTACAAGGAAAGTCAACCGTGTAATTCAGTCTGAGCCTGAAGGCCCAAGAACCAGGAAGTCTGAAATTCAAGGTCTGGAGAAGACACATGTCTCAGCTCAAGCAGAGAGAACAAATTCTCCTCCCCTTCCATTTTGTCCTGTTCTGGCCATCAACGGATTGGATGATGTCCACCACATTAGTGAGGGTGGATCTTCTTGATTCAGTCTGTGGATTCAGTAGTGATCTCACACACAGAAACACACACACACACACACACACACACAAATAATGTTTTGCCACCTCTCTGGGCATCCCTTAGCCCAGTCAAACATAACATTAACCACCCTAGCATGATTGATGTTGGGGATGGGTAGGTAGCTCTGTGATGGGGGTAGTTCTGGCCATTGTACCCTGTTAGTAGTCTTTGTTCACTAGATGATAGTAGTTCTCAGTCGTGACAACCAAGAATGTCCCCAAGCATGGTACATTTTTTCCTGGAGGTGATGTGCCCCAGGAGAGAAGGGGCAGAGGATGTTATGATCCAGGGCCGAGGATGGAAGCACATCTTACAGTGGTGGCATTCCTTCATAGTCCAACCTCTATAGGGGCAGCACGTGGGCTTCTCTCGTGTGACCAATGCCAGCAGTGTGTGTAGTGGGGGAGCCATATAGTAAGTGAAGATATGACAGAGAGGGCTCATGTGAGCACACTAGGGAGGATCCTGGGAGAGGAGATGGGGCTTCATGCTGAGGCCACTGTCTGAGAAAAGTGGAACCCTGGAGACTGGTGAGGTCAGGGTGAAAGAGAGGAGGCCACCCTGAGGTGTCTACTGTGGACCCAATGCACAGAGAAATGTCAAGGGAATCTAATTTTCCTAGAAAATCCACTTTGCCTAGAAGCTGATGAGAATATCAACTCAGTATTTTTTTGTGGTGGTGGTGGGGGGTGGCAGGGAAATTTGTAATTTTAATGACATTTGACTCATCTTATTTTTCTTCCATAGTTTGTGTCTTTGGTATTGTATCTAAAGTTACCATCAAACCCAATATCACCTGGAATTTATGTTGTATTATCTTCTGGGAGTTTGATAGTTTTGTTTCAGGTCTGTGATCCATTTTGAGTGAACGCTGGTGAAGTGTGTAAGGCTTAAGCCTACATTGATTGATTGATTGTGGATGTTCATTTGTTTTAGCCCCATTTGATGAGAAGACCCTCCTTTCTTCACTGAATCGATTTTGTTCCTTTGTCAAGGATCAGCTGGCTGTATTTGTGTGAGTCTATTTCTGGGCTCTCTATTGTATTCCATTCAGGGTGTTTCAAATCACTGGTTTTGGACTATCCATGGGTTATGTAATCAGTTTTGAAGTTCTCATGATCAGTATTTATAAAAAGTGGATCAGAATGAAATATAAAAGAGGAGTCATGCTATTTTCTGAAACTGTTTTGTTGTTGTTGTTTGTTTGTTTGTTTTTTTTTTTGGTACTGGGGATTGAACTCAGGGGCACTTGAGCCACATCCCCTATATTTATTTTATTTAGAGACAGGGTCTCACTGAGTTGCTTAGCACCTCGCTTTTTCGGAGGCTGGCTTTGAACTCGCGATCCTCCTGCCTCAGCCTCCCAAGCTGCTGGGATTACAGGCGTGCGCCACTACGCCCAGCTGAACCTCTGATTTTTATCATGTACATATATGTGTATGCTGGGTCATAATATCAAATTTATTTCTTACTGTTAGTTGCAATCAAAACCTTTAAAACCCTCTATAATGATACCTTTCTATGGAAATAAAGGTCAAGATTTGTCACACCTGAAAATGAAAACTAAAAAATGACTACAGAAAGCTCAAGAGGCAATTCTTATGGCCAACAAGCTACTTCTATGATTATATTTTATTTAAAAAATTATATTAAAGTGTTCCTAAGCTTTGTTCAGCTTTTCTTCGGTGAATGTTCTTCTTCCATTTCTGATGATTTCTAGTTAAGTAGTGACAAGGACTTGGCTTGTCATGCGTGATGGCCCTGGTGTCTCTGCAGGACCTGAGTCCCCTGCCTGGGGCGGGGTGGGGGAGGTCTATGGATCCTGATTTATAATCAAAGACAAGGTGATCTGTTTGTCTACTTTAAATGAATTATAACCAACCCACCAGTAACCAAGTTTTTATGACTTACAGTGGGATTTTTATGCATATTATATCTTGGATCCATCTACAGATTGAAGACTTACACTGTATCCTAGGGAACAAATGACACCAATCTACTATTCTCAGCTGTGCCTTTTTTCCCTATTCCCCCAATGGTCACTGGCTTCCCCTCTGGGAGTGCCATTTGTCTTAAAGTGCCCTCTGCTGGCCGTGCAGAGATCTGCAGCTGTGGTTGCTCTGTTACCTTGTAGTCTCTGCTAGATCTCTGTGGCCTGGTGAACAGCCCCACCGCCTCTGTGGGGGTTGAGGATGGCAGATGAAGGCCAACTTTGTCTAGAGTGGATTTTTCACTTTTTATCGCTGTCCTTATAAATATGACATACTTCCAAGATGAAAGGGGCTATGACTGACCACGTGTGGTGAATATTTTTATATTTAACAAGCACATTCATTTTTCATTAAAATAAACAAACAAATGAAAAAAAATCCTTTCTATAACTTCACTAATCACTCAAGAGTCAGGCACAGAGGCATACTCCTGTAATTCCAGTGACTCAGGAGGCTTGCAATTTCAAGGCCAGCGTCAGCAGCTTAGCAAAACTATCTCAAAAAATAAAAAGGGCTGGGGAGATAGCCCAGTGGTAAAATGTCATTGGGGTCCATTCCCAGTACTGCCAAAAAAAATTTTTAGAGTGGGACAGTTGCAGAAGACCAAGGTTAAAGTGTGCTGACCCTCATTTTTTTTTTTTTCATTCTATTTGGTGTTTTGTGTGGCTGCTTGCGGCATCTTAGTTGGAGTTACCATCTAAGTCTGCATTTGAGACTTGGGCCCACTGGGGCCTCACTCACTCTGGATCTTTGTTAGAACTGTGGAGCTCTACAGTGACCTGGCTATGTCATAAGGAGAGTAGTAACAGTGTCTGTTCTACCTTTAAGGTCTGCTTGTCTTTGGGGGAGAGCTATCAGAAATCAAGGATTCAGATTCTAAAACTAAATGACAAGGGCGTTCTGAATACTATAAGTGTTTTCCTGAAGTTAACAGGTCAGGCATGTGATAATATGCACTATTCCTCTGACTGACTGGGGGAAGGCAGGGAGATGGCATGAGATGGCAAGACAGGTCTGAGTGGCTGGTCATGAGTACATTAGGGTTTCCCCAGGTGAGGGCCTGGAAGCAACAGCAAAGGCATCCATTATCTGAATCTCTTTGCCAATTTCTTACATGACTAATTTCTTATGTGTCAAAACCTCTAGTTCTTGATATTTTAACTGTCCCACCACTATGGGAAAAATGGCACTATTGGAATCGTCAAATGTGAATGTTTTGAGTTTGAGGGTTCTTGGCTAAACCTTTGTGGCTAACTGACTTGCTTTGAAACCTGGGATTCTTGTGGCTGAGAATGTCCAGGTATAGTCATGACCTGGAATCCCACATTTACTCAAGGCTGAGCAAGCTTTCACAGGACAAAGTACTACCAATTCCTTGTGCCAGCTCCTAACTAGTGGCAGGAAGCCCATTTTTTAATACCGTATGTCACTTCCAAAGGTTTTGAGTGGATAACCAGCAAGTGTTTTTAAATATAGAGAGACATAACAAACAGCAGAAAATGAAGAACACTGTATTAATGTTTATTTCTAATTACAAGAACCAGAACATCAGTCCCTTATTTGTACAAAAATACCTGAAAGTTTACAATTAGGTTCACGAGCCAAAGAGCTATATACATAATGAAGCAAAGCACATGGAGTAAAGGTTTTGTCTCTTAATTAACACCTTCTGCATTCCCTGAAAACGTTCACACGTCAGGACATTTTTATGGTCACTGCAATTTGCACTATGACACCACAAATCTACGATGAGCTAGTCCTGCCCTCATAAAGGCGCAAGGATCAGTCAAATTGTCAGGTATTAAGTGCAGAAAGGAGAAGACAAAACATCTAAGCTGAGGCACATGTTTATTCAAGGTTTAGCAAACAAAAATAAAGAAAAAACAAAAAGAAAAAAACACATTCTGGAACTCTAACACCTAATGGAACAGAGCTTACCTATTAAACTCTAATACCCAAAGCATTTGGCGTTTTTCCTTCTCGACTTAGTCCAGGTTGCTACATGGAGTTCTCATTTAGAAAAGAAAATCACAGGCAGAGATTAAAAAGTCAACAGGCTCCAAAACAACCCTGAGCTGTCCCCTTTACATTCATGTCAATTAAATACAAAAATAAAAGTCAAATGTCCTTCAGTCCCTGGCTTGGGGGCTAGACGCCCACGACTCAAGGGACTTGCTGTTTTCAGATGGAATTCCCAGCTACCTGCGTAAAGGCGGGAGAGCCAGGGCCTTTGGAAGTCTGCGCCGCACGAGGCGGTTTATAGCAGCCTCCAACAATTCACTTCGGCTGGGGAAGTACAAAAGACTGCGTCAAACCAGCTACATACAAAATTATGAATCAGAGTCAAGCTTTTATTTCTCCTTTTAAATAAAACGCATACTTATAAATATGAAATACTGCACATCCTAGCTGTCTATGGAGAGGCATAAGAGAGGGATGATACACAATGGGGACTGGTCTGCGTAAAAAAAAGAAAAAAGAAATCTTAGAATTGCTGCTTAAGGTTTTTACCGCAAACCAGTGAAGAGAAACAAGGTACAAAAACGATAGAACTGAAGTAACCGTCTCTAACATGGAGATCAGTAAAAGCATGATGCTAGGCAAGAACTTGAGAAATTACCTCACTGTCAATTATTTGATTAACTGGCTGCCAAAGAAAGAAATACAAAAAGCATTTATGGTTAAAAAACATATCCTACTAAAGAAATGCTTCATTTGTGAAGGCAGACATCTCATGGAAATGGATGGAATAAACCAAAATACAATGTTTCTATCCTGCGGACCGACTTGCAGCCAGCCGGTCTGCCTCACTGAAGCACAACACACATCTTTCCTGAACTACACACATCAACACAAGGGCAGAGAGAAGCGGTTCCTCTGGGAGCACACATCAATGGGTCGCATCTGGAACAATCCAGTGGCCAGCACAGCTTCAAAGGAGCCTGTTGGACATTGTTTTAGAAAAGAAAGCTTTCTGCTCACCACAGTAGTCTGCATGCTTGTCAAGGGAGTTTAGTTGGTGTTGCGGGGTCAAGCGTCAAGAAATAGCCACCTTCACACCTGACAATCAGCAAAGGGGACACGCAAGGGGTCTGCTATGGAATACAGGGGACTGTGTTACAACTCAAGCCACAATCTGACCATCTCTTTTGAATGGGAAGCAAGTGTCCGGTTGCTAAAACTCCCCATTGTCCACAACCAYTGTGAGGTACATCTGCCCTTAAGCCATCAGAGGAGGCACCTCTGGCCGCTCCACATCTGCTGGCTTATGGGGGTTTTCAGCAGGATGCAGAGGTTCATCCAGCAAAGACCTTCAAATGCCAACCTGCACCTGAGCCCTCTGCAGCAGTTCCTTKTCTTTATCACTATGGAAACCCACAGGACCCAGCACAAAAGCCACCAGGGTGTCATGTTCTTTTTAGATCCTTTAATTCCCCAAGAGAGATCAATCATGAAATGACCCAAGCCACTGTAGGGTCTGAATGATCAAGGCAGTGATCATTCTAGAACAGCTGCAAAAAATGTGAGACTGAGGGTACCCCAGGTGGACTATTTGGCATCCACCGCCAGCAAAGGATGGGTACCAGGTGTGTCCCAAGAAGGCAGTCTTACATCAGTCTAGAGGCGAAGTCATGCAGCTGTGCTGTGTTGGGGAATAGTGGGGTTTCCAATGTAATAAAGTCTCCTGCACCGTGGAGAACTAGACACACTACTAACAAAAGGATCAGACATCTACGCAGAGAGCAATGATTAACAGACTGTGGTAGCTCGACTGAGTCCACGAAACATGCCAAATGCTGACCACAGTTGACACCTTTTAGTAATTTTGTTTTTCTTAAAAAAAAAAAAAGCTTTTCAAGTATACTGGGAAGGGCTGGGGGTGGTTTTTTAAATTTGAGAGCCGAATCCACACTGTGGCAATCTCTAGATATCTTTGGGGACCAATCTGCAATCTGAAGTCATCAATTCAAAAATTTTTCTGTCTCATTTGAGTTGAAAAGCCACATCCCCTCCTACCATAGGCTGAATACAATATTGACAACAAAGGAGTGCAAAAATGTGATCAATACAAAAAAAGTAAACATATCAGTTTTAATTGTCAAGATTATTCCAGGGCAAGAGTTCATTTCCAATTTCTCTTCGGTTCTTGTTCCTAAAGTGGCCCAGCCAAGATGATCATTCCAGTTTATTCTCAGAATTGTAATGGATCTCTCAACACCCTCCCTGATTTGGCCAATGCAGAAGGAGGCAATCTGGCTGGATCTGCAGCAGCAAATCTTAACAAAGTCCAACAAACCAGTCGATCTTGATTGGCTGGCACCAAAAAAACGAACCCATGTTGCTCTCAGTCCCAAGGTGCGGAAGATGTACGTTCTCATCCCTCGTTTAGACCTCTTCTTCCTTCCAGTGTGCACTTCCTCCCTTCTTCCGCTGAGAGGATGTGTGAGGTCATAAGGCCACTCGGATGCAGTGGTGCTTCAATTTGCAAGGCAGCACTCCTTTGTTGAGCTGGTAGAAGTCGACCAGCTGGATCAGGTCAGAGAATTTGGTGTTCCCGTCGTCCAGAGTGAAGAAGGTCTGCCCTTCATCCTCAAACTGGGGGGACACAAATAAACACTCGCCAAGTTAGAAGATAAGACGGTGGGAAGAACCTGGGCCCATAGGGAGTTGCTATGGATGCTTAAGAGACACACAGGGGGGCTGGGGATGTAGCTCAAGCGGTAGCACGCTCGCCTGGCATGCGTGCGGCCCGGGTTCGATCCTCAACACCACATACAAACAAAGATGTTGTGTCCACCGAAAACTAAAAAATAAATATTAAAATTCTAAAAAAAAAAAAAAAAAGAAAAAAGAAAAAAAAGAGACACACAAAGAATCTGCAAGGTGGGCTAGAAAACTCAAGAGTTCACAAAGGCAGGGGAGCAGAGCCTCTGTGCCATGATGTGTGAATGATGCTGGGCGGGAGACTAAGGCCAACTGGCAGGGCTGGTTCCCCTGATCCCTGAGGAGGTCTGGGGGAAGAGCTTTAAGCAGCTCCTAGCTCGCTTTGCTTATACGGTAAGGTTGACCGGTTGACTAGTAAGTATCCACAATGGGACACAGGCAACCTTTAAGCTCCGAAGTTCCCTATTGCACGTGTGGCATTATTGTAAGGGATTAATAAGATCATATGGGTAAAACAGCTTTCCCAGCTCCTGGGACTATTTTGTAGCTATTTTGTTTATTAAAGCAAGAATTCCACAGTACCTCTAAGAAAGAACTAGATTCTTAACATCTATTTCAACTCAGTAAGTTTTAAATCTAATGCCTGCAGTACTGTGCCAAACAGAAAAGTTACCCTGCCCTGTTCACATTGACAAGGGAAGCTTTAAACCTTGGTTGATTAATGAACTTAGAACTACTTCTTAACTAAAAGCAGTATTAGAGCCAAACACAYATCCTGTAGCTTGTTTTCAAGTTCAGAGGCTGAAATCCTATAAGTCCCAAATTGCTATTGCTCTTTGGGGCGGGAGAACGGCGTCACAAACTTTGCCAACATGAAAGACCTTTTATTTTACATTTTAAGTGAAGAAAATTCTAACTTTTGCATCAAAACATAATGCAGTGGGGAAAAAAAAGAATTGCAAATGAGGCACTTTCTCTTGAATGATAATTCTGTGCATATAATGTTTGGTGGAACCTGAGAAGCCAGAGCTCAACCCCAGATTCTGTTCCTTTCCCCTAGAGTGGTGTGGGGCAAAGGCTCATTTTCCTCATCCATAAAATGGGTACATCAGAACACAGTGGGAAGCAAGAACAGAAAGTGCCTCAGAGCATATTGCTTCTTATATTTCACAAAAGGAAACCAAGATGCCCTTCTCCTTCCTTACTACCCCTGGGTTTCCTATTMTTACACTACTGTTGAGACTGTAGTGAAGTTTTGGGGTCAATATTTTTAGAAAACCCTAGGCTCAACCATGTGAAATGGGTACATTTAGTTACTTCAAAGACTTCTCGGGACTACTTCTTTGTTCACCTGAGTGTCCAAGAGGAGAAAGTGTGGTCATCTTTTGCACAGTGTTTCCTGGGCTTAGGTTCCACAAGAGATATTTTATAGTAGCTATCTTTACCTCCAGAAGTGTATGTAAAACATTTGATGTTAATTTTGTGTATTGTATCCCTACCTAAACTGAGTTCCGGGAAGTGCTGAAGTAACACAAAAATCATGAACTAGAATTTAAACTCTGGCATAGTAAAGGAAGAGTTAAAGTACATTAGAAAGTATAACAATAATTGCTTGGTTCAAGCAATAACAATAACAACAAAAGGCCGTCTGTAATGATGTGGCAGGATAGTTSAAAGGTGAACTCAAAAGGTTTCTGGTAGTTCAAAGCTTTTCTGGTCTGATAGCCAGGYGCAAGGAGGAACAGTTTCGCTTTGGGGGGGCGGGCACTTGACCATAATTAAGCTTTTCTACAATTTTCTTGAGTAGCTCCACTATATAACAGCACTAATTAGACAATTCCTTAGATGCAAATGGTCAAGGGTCAAACCTGCTATTCACCACCCGTCTTCTACATACTTGTGCTCAGGGCCACCTAGCTCTTTGGTCCTCATCATCCCCTACATTCTCCTATCTGCTGATCCTCCCAGTCAGGTGGCCCCTTCGGTTACACCTAGGAGCTAAAAGGCACATGGGAAGCCCCAGCACAGGATAAACACTTCTAGCATCCTCTGTAGGAAAAACATCCTAAGATTGAAAAACAAACTTCTACAAAAACTCTTGCAAGTTGCTTGAAACCTCCTCGTTGGTTTATAACTTAAAAATTGAATGAAGAATGAAACTAGAAAACCCAAAAGCAAGAACTGATTTAAAAATGTCACTACTTACAGGTAAGATCTGGAAGTTTTTAATCTTCTGGTGGTGACACAGTGTGAGTACAAATGCCTTTGGATTACTCTGACTGTCACGGAGGAGGAAAAGCCTGGGGGATGGAAAATCAGCAATGAATTGTGAATGACAATTAAAATCCCAAACTACACACACACACACACACACACACACACACACACACACACACACCTCCTAGCCCTGTTCAATAACATGGACTTGAAACCCTGATGCTTTAGTGCTTTGGCATTCAAGTGGCCTGGAGTGGCAACATCAGCCATAGCACCCACCGGGTACTTTTGAAATGTCATTCTACATTGAAAGGAACCAGGGATTCTTAGGAATGTGACTGACTCCAGGGAGAAGGCTGGGAAACTGCAAGATGAAGCTGGAACATCTTGTGCTGGAAAGTCAGAAAGTGCACAAAGAATGGTGGGGACATGTCAAAATGACACYGGGGGCAGGTTGACTAAATTTGGGCATCAAAATAAATCACAGAAGCATTGGATTATAACCTATAAAATATATCAGGAATCCACAAATCCATAGGTATTAGAAACAAATGTGCAAATAAATTAGCAGGGGTGAAAGAAAAGTTTGTCCTTAGAGGAGAATATCAAGGAGTGACGGATGGAAGAACTACCATTTGGCAACTACCCAAGTAACAATTGATTAAGACCACCTTCAATGGATGCTAAAACCAGCAGATGAAAGTTTGATGAGAAACAGAATGTTTTCATAATCTCAAAGTGTCTTACTCCTAATGTTTATTTTTTAATAAAATAGAAAGCATTACAGAAAAGGGAAAATAGTACAGAACCAGGTTAAGACCTTCTTCATCAACTGTTCAAATTACTGCCACCAGGAATGAGGCAAACAGATCTCAAGTGCTTCCTGATAGGATGTGTTGAAGGTGATATCACATCATGCACTTGGGATGTTTCTACCCAAAATGCATATCCCCATTTTAGTCCCTGGAACACGGTCTAGTGGAAAACAATTCATTACTAAGAACTGGCTTCTACTTAAGACAAGGTCAAGATTATAAACACCTGTTCTAGGAAATGAGAATATACAGGATTATGATATTTTTCCTCCCTTTTGCTACGAAGGATACAATCAGGAGTAGGAGTAAAATTTGAATCAGTGTCTGGAGTAGATAATACAACTTCAACGAAGCTCATTTCCTGATTTTATAATGGCACTGTGGTTACATAAGAAAAGTACTTGTTTTTAGAAATTTCACACTGAAATAATTAGGACTTGGGGGGCATCAAGCTGCAATTTACTCTCAAATGGTTTGGGGGAAAATATTACAGGAAAAGAATGATAAAGCTAATGTGCCACTACGTTGGCAAATGGGACATCTGGGGTGAAGTATGTACCAGATCACTGCATTATTTTTGTGACTTTTCTACAACCTTGAAATTATTTCAAAATAAAATAATACAGGGAATAGCATAAAGAAGCATAGAATCACTGAATCTAATCAGCTAAATCTTCAGTTTCTAGATTGTAAATGTTAAAGATCGAAAAGCAGCTAAATAGGACTGGAAAATCCCTATCTGAAAGACAAAACAGATTATTTTTTTTTTCTATAGCACTTCTCATAGCCTTTAAAATGCAAACATCCATCATAACTCTCTAAGGGCTCTATCACAAAGAGTATCCCAGTCTTACCTAACTACCCAATCCCTTTTTATTAAAAAAAATTTTGCAGCAACTTGTACTCTTCAGAATATCCTTTGAGAATCGCCACCCAGATCTGAATTCTACCGTTTGGCCCAGTCAGGCTGGAACAGACAGTGCTAAGAACCACGGGTCCCRTTCCCCAGCTACAGAACATACTCCACAGGAAGAGAGAGAACCGGAAGCTCTGGGTCCTCTCCTGGAGGATCCCTCTTCTTTTCCCAGAGTCATATCATACCAATAAAATATGGTTACAGGGTAGAATCTCAGGAGCTTGATCTAATCTGAGGAAAAGACAGGGCTGCCCCTTTCTCTGTTACATGACTACCTGTTTCCTTCCACAGAAAGAAAACTACAGACAAACACGTACATACAACCTATGACTGTTCATTCTGATCACCCCTGAGAGGAGCAGGCGGCAGATATGTTCTCTGTCCCTCAGTTTGGGGTGGGGTGTGTAGGGTCTACCCAAACACTTGGATTTATACAGGCACTGCCTGAAGGTTGTCCACCTGAGATGATCACTAATATGGAGGAGGCTGTCAAGTTAGCAAGGATCCTGGATTTGCCACTTCCTAGCTTCACAATCTTGGGTCACATGCCTTCTCAGTGTTACTTTCTTCATCTGCAATAAAACCTCTCCCGCAGGACTGGGGAGAAGATCCCACACAGTGGCTTGACGTATCAAGTTATTGCAAGCAGCACACCGTGGGGATCCAGTGATGCCGAAGAGTGACCATCACAAGGAAGAGGCAGGGAGAAGCCAAGCATGTCTAGACATTGCTACCGAGGTTAGGAAGTCCTGAACAGGACCCAGGAAGGAGAGCAACAAGAACCAGGGTATGAAGAATGGAGGACAGTGATGGCTTACTCCCTGAAAGAATTGTGAATCTTTTGGGCTAGGTGATGATGGTGACCAGGTAACATTCCAGCTCACCATTATAAGGGACTTTTGCCTCAAGTATTTCATAGCTGTATTAATCCATTTAGTCCTCATAACRACCCTGTCATCCTCATTTTGTGAAGAGGGGTGTGGGGCTCAGAGAAATCAAGCAACCACCTCAAGGTCACTATGCCAAAGCTGGTGGAGTCCCTGGTCCAGCGGGAAAGGATTCCTCTGTACAAGGAATTGTTTTCCTTTGGGGGAAGGGAAAGCTTTAAAGAACTCAAGTCTCACCGAAGAAACCTCCTTCCAACAAGTCCAAGAACATGGAGGGCAGACAGAAAGGCAGCATGACAGGCAGCATGGGGACTGATGTTCATGTCAAGGGCCCAGCAGGGCTAGGCTGGAATGTGGGGGTGGGAGAGAGGGAGGTGTCCTTATATCCTAAGGGGGCTGGCAGAGGCRTGGAGAGAGCTAGATATGTCCTTGGAAAGATTCTTCTCCTGATGATTCTGAGAAGAACAGGAAGGAACCCGGCAGTGAGCTCTGTGCAGGACTAGTGGACACCAGAGTTTATACTCACACACATAGGCATGCTCAGTCACATATATGACCCCAGAAATATCAAGAATATTTCTGGGGGTCCTATAAGGCTTTGCTGTCTCTTTCTTTCTGGCCCTGCTCTCTAACTCCACATATCACTTCAGGTTCAAGCCTCAGGAAATACCCCTCTATTGCCTTAGCTGTTCTTGCCCTGTCTTTCAGAGTTATTTCCTTTTCATTGTTTGACATTCTAAATTGACTTGCCTTCATTAACTCTGCAGGGATCAGTAAAGATTAGAGATGGGTTGTCTGAAGCACATTTCTTCCCTAAACCTTGAAACTAGCCCACGAGCCGTCCCTGCGTCAGAGCTGGACTAGCTGTTATCTGCACGTCTGTTAGGCCAGTGGACACATGCTTCTTGGCCCTACATAGCATCACAATGAGCCCCCTGTGTAGCCTTCACTACACAAACAGTGTGATGTCACCTGGCACGTGAACTGGCTCAGCCTCCTTAATGAACCCCACAGACACTGTGGTTAATTGGGACATGCCTAGAACATTCAAGAGGCCAACAGTTGAAGGGGGTTCACAGTTACAAATGGGCATAAGAAAATACACATCTATCCCTAAATTTTAAAATGTCACAGAAATTTCAAATGTTAGGCTTTTTTTTCAAGTATGCCAGTAACTTTAGAGGAGAAGCATACTTTTTTATAAGAAAGGAGTTATTTATAATGGTTTAAAAGAGATACTCTATGACACAGGTGATTATCAATTATTAATTACCTACAGTAATTAGCTTTGGAACAATTATATAGCTACCTGGGAAACAAAATGAGACCTATTCTTTATATAATACCTAAATATAAATAAACTCCAAATCTATCTGGAATCTAAATAATAATGATGATGAAAATAGTAATGATAATATAATAATATCTAACATATGTAATAATAATAAGAAACCAAAAAACCAATAAATGAGGAACAATACCAGTACTAGAAAATAACATAAATGAACTCCTCTATGATTTCAGAGTAAAAAAAAATAAAAAGTATTTGTAATTAAAAAATATAGATTAGAAAAATGGATAGAAAGTATAAACAGCTCAGAACTACAAAAAGAGTAAGAAATCCAAACAGCTTTTAAGCACAAGGAAAGAGGCTCAGTCTGCTTTATGAGAGAAGTGCAAATTACAGCTTTTCTCTCTGATGGAGGAGGCTATGGGAAAACAGTCACTCATATGCTTCTGCTGGTATGACCATGTGACACAAACCCTGCKGAGGAGAACTGAGAGCTACTTCACAATATTATGTAAGCTTTCCACCTAAAAATCCCCCTTTGAACGACTCACCAGCAAAGAGATACCAGTAAAATTAAGAAATGACACAGCACTGTTTGTCACAACATAAGGGACTGGCTGGAAAAAAAATCATGTTCTATGTACATAAAAGAGAACCCGAGAATAGAATAGAAATGAGGAATGTTTCTATGTGCTSCCATGGGACAATCCTCAGGACAGAGAAAGAAAAATATGTGTTATAGTTCAGATATGAGATATCCCCTCCTAAAGTTCAGGTGTGAGACAATGCAAGAAAGTTTAGAGGCAAAATGACTGGGTTATGAGAGTTTTAACCTGATTAGTGCATTAATCCTCTGATAGAGATTAACTGGGTGATAACTATAGGCACATAGGGTGTCCCTGTGGGTGTGCCTCTGGGGCATATATATTTTGTCACTGGTGAGTACAGTTCTCTCTCCTTCCTTGTTGCATGCTAAGGTAAAAGTAACAAGAATGTGTATAAACCAAAATGTACAGGCAAAAACATTTTTTTCTATTTGTCCACTTACCAAGAAAGTAAAAATAACTACCTTTGCATTCTTCTCCTACTCAAAATTCATCTAAGAGGTAGAGGAAAATTCTAGATACAATCTGGACAGATATGGGTTAGAATCCCCTCTGCCCCTCACTAATTGGGCCAGCCCTGCACAACTCCTACAATCTCTGAGCCTAGATTTCTCCTCTTTAAAATGAGGATAAAACTACTGCCTATCTTACAAAGATGTTTGAGAAACGGAATATACACCCAGCAAAATGAGAGCTCAACAGATGACAGCTCTTATCAGTGGAGGTCCCTTACCCATCCACGAGGCCTTGCTGCTTAATGATCCTGTGTGATTCCTCTCTGGTGATTCTGCCATGAAACCAATGCTGAGTCCTGTGAATCACTGTGGGGGTAAGAGAGGAGGTGAGGAAGGTGACATCTCTGCACAGTGGTTTCCCTGAGAACATAACCCAGAGCCCTGACTCCCACAGCGGTACCTCTGTGGTGCATTCCAGGCCTGGGCAACAATGTAAAGTTCGGGGAGTGGAGGGTATGGGTGGGTGGGGGTGTGGAAGGTGAGGCCTGTTTAATTTTCTTTTTATACAACAACATTAGGCAACTTGTCATGCTTACCTGTACTCAGGGTAGAAGGATGAAGGGGACTTTGGCTTCCCAGGATATTCATCCTCATGCTTCTCTTCTGCAAAAGAAATGCCCACATTAGCACTGAAGAAAACAGACTGATGCACAACAAGTCACCTGACTTCCCACCTCAGAGCGGGTAGCTGACCAGGATGCCACGCATCATGTGAAGACCCTGTCTAATCACCAAGGATGAAGAACACATGGATCACAGTGGTGGTTAAAAACAAACCAAAAGCATAATGGTGCATTTCCAACCATCCCGGTATTGAAACAGAGACACTTGCTTCTCACATAGAAGATGTATGATAGAAATCCTAAAAAATCTTAGCAGAAAAGCATGAGCTTGGGTAAACTCAAGCAGTTCTCAAAGCATGGGTCTTGAGAATCCCCATACTTGGGAACTTTCTCCTTTTCTCAAAGTACTGGGAATGCTTTCTAAGCCARGGTCCTGGATTTATATTTTACACAYGATCTTTAAAGACTCAGCTGAAAGATGGGTGATATTCTTCCCATCTGGAGATTTAGAACTTGAGCCTCAAAGATGAAGGAACTGTTTGGGTACAGCCCCCGCCACCCCCATATGCCCAATGGCCTCATTCAGGACAGGCTCTGTGCCCTACACAGACAGTTGCTAAAAATTCATCAACAATAATAGTTCTGCCCATGAACCAAAGAGGTAGAAGGTTCTGTTCTTCTCTGCCCCTTCCATGGGATCCCATCCATAGGGAGGCAGTGGGGGCTGGCTGGGTGCTGGACGCGTGGAGGACTCAGAGGGGTCAACTGCTTCCCGCAGTTCCTTACAAGCATCCCCTCCCTTGCCAACACCACAGAGCCATTCTTTTGGAAGAACAGCAAATGCAGGGGGGGCTACCACCCACAAGGGAGCCTCTTCTTGCTGGACTGGGGCCATGGTCTTACCCGCCAGGCATGGCCCTCTTCCAGGGCAGCGCTCTGGGCTTCAGCCGGATTCTCTATCACTCTTCCTGTTTGCCCAGAAAAATCCATTGCCACGAGGGAGTTCTCAGAGACACTGCGCTGGAAAGAAAAAGCCATAAATTTGTAAGAAGCAAGGAAATCAGTACAGAGGGAAATTTTGGCATGAAATGATCATAAAGATAGCCAGGAAAGGGTGCCCTATCTCCAYTTCTGAACCCCTGATTCAGGATAAAGATCCACAGATTCAGGTTGAAAATTCAGAGGCACCTTGGGCTAAAAATGGCTTTGATTTTTCTTAAGAATAAAAAATGATCCTGTCTTCTCATAGTATTCACAAGCTGCTGGCAAGGTCTCCTGACACCAGTAGGTTATGGACTGCACTGCCCTTTACTGGTTTCCTGACCTGTGCTAAAACACATCARAGACATGAAAACACAGGGTGAGACTAGTCCTCAACTGTAGATGACATCTTCAGGTGTGTTAGCTCAGGACAAGTAATACTGGACTCTCGATGGAGTCATCTGCCATCTCAAAAGAACAGATAAAGAAGGATYTTTAAGATCATATTTTGAAGTCACGACATGTTTCTGTGTCTCTGGGAAGCAAATCACATACTGAAGACACAAAAGGAGTAATAATAATGTCTCACTTCTAACCAAGGAATGATCTCACCATAATGGCCAACAGCACCTATGGGTCCCATGGCTTGAAGGAACAAAATCCYAGACAGAAGAGGATGCTCCTGTAGAGCTGGAAGTTGCAGTTGGTATTTTTAGCACATGAAGTTATTTACCTAACAACCTTGAGTTAAGATGTAAGGATGGGAGAAGGATGATAGAGAAATTTCTTCCCTGAAGCATGATATTGAAGTACAAGATTCGTGTTCTGGAAAATGGAATGCATGAGACATACTGGTTTCCTTGGAATGTGTTCACTCTTTCTGGAGCTTCCCTTACCAGTTCTTGTGAAATGTTGTCTACAAMACACGGAGACACAGCAGCAGAAAAGGCTTCTGAGCTAGGAAAGGCCAGCCCTGTACTTACCACTGGTGTAGCAAAGGGAGACAGCAAGGCTTTTCTCTGTTGAGGGATGCGGTAGTTCTGATAGAGGAGCATTCCATACTGAAGAGAAAGATAAGAGTCAGCACCAGGAGGGTAGTAGGAGCCCCAAGGTCCCAGCACATGTAAAATACCAAGGCTGGGAAGGGCAATGTTGAGTACAGAACAATGAAAAATATTGTTAACAGCCCCCACAAGCCGAAGCACATTCAAGATGGCGCACTTCTCTCAGTTCTGTCTCAGTTCTGCTATTACACTGCAGGAGATGAGCACTGACTGGTTTTGGAATGTTGGAAGGGGAATATACAAGACAGTGACAAATGCAATTATAATAATAGGATCAAGAAGAATTAACCTCACTGAGTGCTACTATGGGCCAAGTACTGTCTTAAATGGTTGTTGTATTATTTTCACWTAACCATCTCCATTTTGTGAGCTATGTACTATAACTTTCCCCATTTTACAGATTATGGAACTGAAGCACAGATAATGAAGCAAATAACCCAAAGTCTCAGGAAATCAATGATTTAGAATTTGAATATACCAAAGCTAATGATTCCCCTGACTACCAGGCTTACTGCTTAACCGGCTCAGCAGTTTGTGCTTTATTTTTCTTGGTAATAAGTACCCAGGGCATCGAAAAGTCTTACACACATCCAACATCCCAACCAACACTCCCAAATTACTGGCTCACACCACCCACTTGGAAGATAAAAGAATCAGGAAGAGGAAACAAAGTTATCAAGCAGAGTGCATCTTCCTCTTGACATTCCTTCAGGGGACGTAAGCTCCGATCCAGCTCTAGGTCCTACAGTATGTACTCATTTCTAAAATAAAAACATTTAGAACATGACAAAACAGTCTAACATAGGTATAATTGYATTCCCGTGAGAGGAGAAGAGTGAGAACAGGTCAGAAGAAACAACCCAAAGTGACAGTCGTCATGAATTTTCCAAAATCAACAAAAAGACATCAAGCAACAGATTCAAAGAGTAAGATAAATAAATTAACACCCAGACACATCATGGGAAGACTGCTATTTAAAAAAAAAAAAGAAAGAAAACGTAAAAAGCAACTAGAGAAAAACATTCATTATTTTCACAGAAGCACTAGAGGACAGACGGCTGATAGTTTTGTACAAATGATGAGATCCAGAAGACAATGGAATGGGAGCAATTATAGAAGAAAATAACTGGCACAACCAAGAAAAAGTTCCTTCAATAATGTAGGTGAAACAAAAATTGAAAAAATTTCTAAGGCCCATATTTTAAAAATTGCTAGGCTGAGTTCCTCTAGTCCCATAAAAAGAATGCAAATTCAAGAAAAATTAGAGTACAGATATGGAAGTGAATAAAATAAAAATTGAGTATATTAAACAAAACAGCAAAATTTCTTAAGGTATTTTAAATATATACAGAATTAATATTCATAATGAAAACATTTCAAAATGAGCAATGGGGAAAATGGATAAGTCCTTAGGCTAACCTGAAAATTAAAAAAGGACTAAATTATAAATATAAAAAAATATAATAAGTTAAAGATGCATGTTGTGATATCCAGGTTAACCACTAGAAAATAATAAGTGAATATCTAAGAGATAAGTTAACAGAGGAAAAAATATAAATAAAATTACTTGACAAATCCAAACAAGAGAAAAAAGAGAGGAGGGACAACTTGAAAACAACTAGCAAATGGTAGGTTCAAAWACAAATACTAATAACTAATAATCACATTAAATGATACAATTAAATTAAAATAAATGTTCCAGTTAAAAGATGAAGATTATTCAGTAAAGAATAAGATGTGATGCTTATCAGTGATATTCCTTAAACATAAGGACCCAGAAAGTTGAAAAAATATGGTTAAAACAAACTATGCAAACACTAATCAAAACAAAGCTATATTAATATTAGACAAATTAAACATTAAGGCATGGGGCATTACGAGGGAAAATGAAGTGTATTTCATAATGACAAAGAATTGATTTACCAGGAAGACATAAATATCCTAAACATTTGGGCACTAATAACAGACACATTTCAACTTATTCACATATTTTCATGTACATATATGCAGTCATCCCTCAGTATCCCCTGGGGTTTGGTTTCAAGATCCCCTGCAAATACCAAAATCCATGGATGCAAAAGTCACCTATAGAACATGGTGTAGTATTTGCATATAACCTACTCACTTTAGATCATTTTTAGATTATCTAAAGTAACTAATATGCAAATGCTATGTAAAAAGTTGTCCTGCATTATTTAGGCAATAATCACAAGAAATCTATCTATCTATATAAGTTCAGTAATAAACACTYACCCCCCAATTTTCTTTTTAAAGAACATTTCTGATCTGCAGTTGGTTGAATACAAAGATGCAGAAACTAGATATAGAATGCCAACTGTGTGTGTATGTGTGTAAATGGATAGAGAAAGAGACAGAGAGAAGTAATGCGATGGTAACCTTGCACAAGGAAAAGTCCCCTGTCCAACCCCACTCCTGGAAGGTGATCTCTAAGTCTTTGGAATGTCCTGCCTGAAAGAAATGACTGGGTTTAACTGGGGTACTTGGCTAGGCCATATAGTAAATAACAATGTGATTTATGCTGGGACTTTGGACCACACTTATTAACTTGATTTTTGGAAGGGCTGCAGACTAAGGTCAGACACATAGGTGGTCAGCCACATCTATATGGCCAGCTATTACACCAAGGCTTGGGTAAGCTTCTCTGGTTGGCAAATCTTTGTGTGTTTGCACACATCTTTGTCAGAAGAAGCAAGTACTGTGCACATGACTTCTCTAAGAGAGGGCAACTGGAACCTCCTACCTGGAACTCTCTTGGGTCCTTCCCACACACATTTTCCCATTGCCAATTTTGACTTGCATCTGCTCAACGTAATACCATGAATGTAAGAGCTTTGCTGAATTCTGAGTCCTAACAAATTAATGAAATTGAGGCTCGTTCCAAGAGCACTGTGCACATGCATGCACACACACACACACAAACACTCACACAGGCTGAACATCCCTAATCTGAAAATCTGAAATCCACAATGCTTTAAATCCTGAAATTTTTTGAGTACTAATGTCTTGCCCCAAGTGAAAAATTCCACACCTGGCTTCATGTGATGATGAGTTATAGTTAAAACACAGGTGTACTAAAATTACTGTATAAAATTAACTTTAGGCTATGTGTACAAGAGTATGTAAAACATGTAAGAGTTTTATGTTCAGACTTGGGTCTTAYCTTCAAGATATCCCATTATGCATATGCAAATCCTACAAAATCTGAAACAAAGTTCAAAAGCCAAAATGCTTTTGTTCTCATATTTCAGATGAGAGGTAATAAATATGAATTCTGGGCTTATATAAAATGAATTTAAGATTCACTAACATGAGGGGGATTTATCTGTGCAGGAGACATATACTCATTAAGATGGATATGAATAGACAGGAAATCCATCATGTCCAAGTGGGCTTGGGTTTCCTGGGTCCCTGCAATTCCATGGATCCATGTGCCTAGCTCAGACCAATGACAGTCTAATTAATTTGATTGCCCTTATTGAATGTCTTGAACGAGATACTTAGATCATTGGTTTTAAGCCTTATTTTACAAATATATTTATTTATTTATTTATTTAAGACAAAAAATTTGCCTCTAAAGTTTTATAGTTGTGATTTAGTTATATTTATGATTATTCAGTTGACATACACTCTAATTTTCTTCCATATTTCATCTTTGATCCATAAATTATTTAATATTGTCTCTAAGTTGGCATAAAATGATACTTTATTTGATTATATCTACATTTGTTTTCAATTACTAAGAAATTTGAGTGTTTTTCATTTATTATCTGCATCCTAAGACTATTAATTTATGTTGTTTCAATTTAGAAATATGAAGGCCTAGATGGTAGTAATTTATTTATATGTAATCTTAATATTGTTTAGATATTAACTTATTATATATCAGCTCTATCATAAAGTTACCTTCTTCTACTTTCTTTTTTWATTTAAGTTGACTGGATTTTAAACATGTGTATAATCCAATTAATGTTTTTTTTTTTTTTCTTAAAACTGTTTCAGAGACAGTATGACTCCAGAAATGTTTCTCCTTCTTTTGCAATACAGATTTCTTATTTCTTATTCTCATTTAATTGAATGTTTAGATTCAATAAAGAAGAAAGGCAACAGTGGCTATTTTGCATGTGTCTGTAAAGCAATTATAGAAATGTTTCTGCAATAAGGATAGTGGCAACACTTGGCTAAACACAGTCAATATCTTGCCATGGTAAAAAACATTCTCCCCATACAATATGTTAGCAAAATAAGTAATGTTAAAAATATAAATGACATAAACAAATTCCTAAGAGTTTAAAATTACAAATGGGGTAGAGTTTTGGGATCTAATGAAAGGAGTCTATTTTACTTTGTATCTATTGTATACTAATAGCTTCCCATTAATTCCTACTTCTAATTCTTATCATAAACACTGAAGAATCACAGGATGCCACACTTACATAAAATGAAAAAATTCCATTACCTTAAAATTTATTATACATGTGACCTTTCTGTTCTTAACTAAGGCCATACGTAAGTTTTTTTCTTTATRAAAAGATAAAACAAAGTCATGGTCAAAGAATGATTCATGAAATGACAGTAAACTCTAGGGATATAAATGAATTTAAGATTCACTAACATGAGGGGGATTTATCTGTGCAGGAGACATATACTCATTAAGATGGATATGAATAGACAGGAAATCCATTATGTCCAAGTGGGCTTGGGTTTCCTGGGTCCCTGCAGTTCCATGGATCCATGTGCCTAGCTCAGACCAACAACAGTGCATAAAGTGACATATCATTTACAGTCAAGTAGTTAACTGGGGATGCAAAATCTTCCTGGACTTTTGTGGCTTCCTTTTGCCATATTGGATGTGGGCAATGTTCAAGATGGCAGCCGCTCTCTACCTGTCAGATTCAAGCAGGGCAGCGGCAGGAGCTAACTATAAGCCAATGACACTGAGGAATGTTTGCTAATTGGGAATAATCTGAAATATCACA